TCAAAACAAGATTCCACAGCGAATTTATGTTCCCCAGGGTAAGCGTCCACATCTGCGCATCCAAACTTGATGGTGAGAATAGCAAGCTCCTCCGGGCTGCTATGCTTTCGTCACTACTCCATGTCTCATCCTGTCCACTGGCGAAACCTCGCAGTGAGAAAGATGGGTGATTGTCTGGAGTGCGCGCGATTTCATCGGTCATCGAGACATATCTACAAAGTCGAAGACAAGACAACCCCTTGTCGCACATGATCCGACCGCGGTCATTACCGTGTTATCCACTGAAAATGGCAGTCATGATCGAATTTACTCTTCAGCGAGGCCAAGGTTCTCCTCAGCAGGGACCACGCGGATAGTGTTGGTGTGTCCCATGCCACCACGCCAGCCCTGGACACAGACGATGTTGTCGCCCTTGTTAATGAGGCCGAGCTTGAGAGCGTGAGAAATACCCCACTTGAGGCGGCGGTCAACATCCTCCTGCCAGATCTTGACGTTGAAATCGGGCTTCTTCTCAGGGAAGGTGAAGGGCCAGACACCGCGATACAGATGGGAGTACTTGATTACACGAATTAGCGAAGCTCAATTGTCCAACGACGAAGATGACATGGGACTTACCCGGGCGGCCATGGGGTTGCGAGTGACCATGATGATAGGGCAGACAGGGCGGTACTTGGAAAGAAGGCGAGCGGTTTTACCACTGAGAATCATATCCGTCAGCCGAATTCTTCGATCAACCAGAGACGAAAACAAAATTACATACCTGGTGGTCAAGACAACAATGGCGCCAGCGTTGAGCTCAAGACTGGCGCTGACGGCAGCCATGGCGATGGACTCGACGGTGTCAGTGGGGCGGGGAGCAAGGTTGCGCAACTCGTCAAAGACCTGGAAGTGAGGAGTAGCGACCTCTGCAAGCAAGCAAGTCTCGGACATCATCTTGACAGCCTCGGTGGGGTAATTGCCCTTGGCAGTTTCTCCGGACAACATGACACAGTCAGCACCGTCAAGGACAGCGTTGGCAACGTCCGACACCTCTGCACGGGTGGGGCGGGGGTTGTATGTCATGGACTCGAGCATCTGAGTGGCACAGATGACAGGCTTGCCCTTCATGTTACACTTGGCGATCATCATCTTCTGGGCCAGGAAGACCTTGGGAGCAGGGATCTCGATACCCAAGTCACCACGGGCAACCATGACACCATCTGTCTCCTCGAGGATCTCATCGAAGTTGTTGACACCCTGCTGGTTCTCAATCTTGGCGATAATTTGGATCTCTTTTCCCTCCTCACCAAGGACTTCACGAATGTGACGAATGTCGCTTCCGCGACGGATAAACGAGGCGAAAATCATGTCCACCCTGTTCTTGACACCGAACTTGAGATCGCTAATGTCCTTCTCAGAGAGAGCGGGAAGGTCAACGTCAGTGCCGGGCAGGTTGACACCCTTTCTGGAAGAGATGTTGCCATTGTTCAGGCACTTGACACGGAGGGTCTGGTCATCAACAACCTCGAGCACCTCGAACGAGAGAATACCATCGTCCACATAGATCAGCTTGCCGGGTTCGATCACCTTGGTGATGTTCTTGTAGTCGAGGTACCTGCCAGATTTCTCGTCAGCTCATGGATTCCTGGAATGGCCTCTTTCGAAAGCTGTGGTTTTCCGGGGCCATGTCAACAACGCTCGGATTTTCAGTATACTCACATGTTCTTGTCGTCGCATGCGGTAGCATATTGCTCGTCAGTGGTGATGTTGAGTTCATGGCCGGCTTTGATAGGAATGTCCTTGTCGCCGACGGTGTTTCCGGTACGAATTTCGGGTCCTTTCTAATGTAGGAGTCAGAGCTGAATGGCATCGGGAAGCACCGGTTGTCATGAAACTCACGGTGTCAAGGGCAATGGCAACAGGGCGTCCGGTCTGGAGTCTCTCGGCCTCACGGGCGTTGTCGATGACAGATTGGTGGTACTAGAAACGTCAGAATTCTGCTCGCAGCCTTCCTATCAAGCTACTGGGGCGCTGAATTCAGACTAACCTCATACGAGCCGTGAGAGAAGTTCATGCGAACGACATTGAGACCAGCTGTTGAAACTTGTCAGCTCATACACTTGGCGGAGAGAGTCTGAGGAGATATTCCCCGCTCGTACCTCTGCGGAGAGCATTGATCTTCTCGACGGAGTTTGTCTTGGGGCCTGCGGAGATAGCYGACGTCAGTATCTTGCGATGCCAAACAATTCGTAGGAATGCGAATATTCTCAGGATAAGACTGAGAAGCTCTGACATACCGATGGTGCAAATGATGGAGGTGCGACGGAAGTTCTTCGCAGGAACCATCTCCGTGTTCAGCTTGGAGTACCATTCCAGCTTCATACGGTTGCTCAGATGGTCAAGAGAACTGCTGGCGGCCATTTTGAACAACGACTCTGATGGAATTGAAAGAAAGAATGAAAAGAAGGAATTGCTTGAGATGGATGATGTGGTGAGGGGAGAGAGGAGAGGATAGAAAGTTGGACTGAGGTGAAAGCAGAGCAGCAGTGTCGATAAAAAAAGAGGGACCAGGACCAGAGTTGCTCCGGTGAGGGAGGGAGGGGCTCCAGTCAGGCTCCGTCGTGCGCGGGAGGGAAAATACTGTTGGCCGTCCGATGCCCCCGCGGGCAGGAGAAAATTATCTACGCTGTAGTTTACAGTCTGTTAACTGTAGTCTGAGTAGTACTACCAGTAGATGGGTAACTAGTGCACTGCGAGTTAATATTAATCACATCTTTGAATTTTGATTACTAGTCTTATCTATCTTCAGAATGCTGTTATCAGGTCGCAGCATAAAATGAAACAGCCCTGCACCCATAAACTCCTGGCAAGATCTGCCTGGATGAGCAATGGCCATTTGAGAAAAACAAAAAGGTTCAGGAACTACTATCATAGAGGACTATTGGACTTTAATGCACGCTGCGAGATTTGGCATCGGCTTCTGTTGATAGCAGCTAGAGAGGTACACAAAATAAGATATTGATAGAACTTGTTGGAGGGGGACCACCAATTCGTTCTGATCCCCTCTAGCTGTTGAGAATACCTACCTAAGAGTCAAGTACCGAATTGACCGAGCAGATTCAGACTCTGATTGGCTGGGCTGTTAGTTTTCCAAGAGCTCTAGCCTTGGTTGTTCAGACTCCAAAGCGAAGCAAGGTACGGAGGCTAGCAAACAGCCGCTGGCAACAGGACCGATGCGTACACCGGCCAAATCACTAGTCCTCTTCCGTTTGCGTGTGCATCTGTTAGCATAATGAGTAAGCATGCATAATAAAAACCAATGCTCAGTTGCTTACCTATGCTCCCAGCCTCTCCCAGCCACCGAGCTCACCGCCTCTTGGATACCTACTGATATTGCCAGCAAAACAGCCTTTTGTCATGTGGAAGTGGAGCGGCAAAGGCCACTAAGACAGTCTGGTTGCCCCCTCACGCGAGGCTATCACATTCACCACCTTCCCTGACTTCCACCTGTCTTTCGTACGAAGTCCTGCTCTGCTTTTATTGACTGCTAGTATTAGGCATCGCTGAAGTGAACTGTACAGCTTTTCTCCTTGCTATTACCCTTGCCGATAAGCTCTGGAGAATTTGACGAGCTGTGTTTTGCTCGGCTCTAGTCATCATGGTAGGTTTGTGTTTGTCGGCGTTGGGTGCCTACTATCTATGTGGATGGGTAGCTATCCCGACGAGTGTGCTCTGAGAAATGCCGATATGCTGATTTGGGATCCGGTGCAGCTGGGACGCCTGACTCACTACGCTTTTGACGCTGTGCTCTGTAAGTACTTCTCTATCCATTTTGCAGCAAAGCAGAGGGGAATGTCGGCTGATGGGTGCTTCTTATAGTCTCTGCCTTTCTGGCAGGCATCAAGCGCTCGACTGGCTTAACGTAAATATGCCCCGTTTCCTGCGTATATTTCACACCCCTGACGACTTGAATGGATCCGTTTTGTCGGTTTTATGTTTGTAGAGAGGGTATTGATGGACTGAAGCTAATTTGTCACCCCGCGCCCCGGTCCGGGTCGCGTGGGGTTGTCACAGCCCCAGTCTCGACACTGACAAGATCACCGAGAACAAAGACTTCAAGAAATGGATCGATAACTATCTCGGCGTCGGCGAGTGGGTCATGGATCAATCGGTTGCTGTGCTGTCATCCACGAGTTTCTTCGAACGCAAGCGGTAATCGTGGCTCGATGTTGGTTGATGTGGAGGGCTCGGAGTCGCGGGTGTACGATGGAAGGATGACGGGCGGCCCGCGACGTTGGATGGGTTTCACTGCGGCCTGTTTGCATGCTTGTTGTTGGAGTTTGATGCGTCGGACATACCATACCCAACTCTGATCTGTTACGCTGGATTAAACATGTAGAAAAGGGGGCCAATCGGGCACGGTTTGTATCCCGGTTACCCAGCTGCGTGGAGTTGATTCATGATTGACGAATTCTGGTTTGCATTTCCATTTGATTGAATCAGACTATGGCGTTAGGGATGCCTTTTTTCCATGTCTCTTGACTCCTGCATACATATCTCTATTTTGGTCGAATTCTTTCCTTCCACATTTCAGAAGCTGAACAACCATACTTACACCTCGAACGGTGAACAGATGCTCGCCACTAGTAATGTGACCCGAACCACTTGGGGATTTCGAACCGCTCAGCAGATCAATTTCGGTGGTATGTCAGTGTTCGTAGTTTTGCTGGCGGATCATCGCTTCGACCTCCTCACAATGAGACATGGACATTTGTACCAGCCGCGCCGGGGAACGAAGACATAGTATGCTCTGTTCAAATCTGTGATTCAGAGCAATGGCCATCTCAGCTGAGCACCACGTCTGTTAGCCAGTTATGACACGGATCAGAGAAGGCTAAACGAATACATACATCATTTTAAAGTCCGTCAATCCCGCATGTATCTTGGTTGATCCCTCGTTCATTGTGCTATCTCTGTTGTACTCCGCCCAGGAGTATTATTTGCCAAATCAAAGAGGCGAATCACGTCTGAATAAGTGCATCAATGTCAAGCCTTTTAAAGTATGACATATGGCCCATAGCCTCCCAATAAAGAGCGACGCAATCAGGTGATATCAATATCAGCTGCGCTGGAATAAAGGTGTCTGATGGGAGTCAAAGGTGTCAATACATGTTCATACGAAGAGCATATTAATTGAAAACTTACCATCTCTGAACCCGAGACCTGCCACATGGCCTTTGCTACGGACAATCCGGCACCCTCGGAACAAAGCCTCTTCTGCGACACGAACCACACCTCCCGGGCCAATGTCACGAGCAATAAAAGATATCTGACCCCGAGGAACATTCGGGTCCCCTGTGAGCTTGATCGCCTCGAGACTGCCCTTCTGAACGATTTCGTCGGGACCGGGTTCTGGTTCGTCAGAGGAGCTGGACGTCCCATCTCCGTCCCGTTGTAGGAAAAGCAAAAACTCGCACCCATGAGCAGAGTAGTCACCGACCCAGATGCCTTGATACGGCTTTTCCCTCGTCGGAGTATATAAGCGGGGGTCCAGTGTAGCATAAGTCGACAGTGTTTCGCTCCGGCCGGCGGTAAACATAGGCATCCCGAGCCGGAAATGTGCCCAGCGTCGAATCCGAAATGCGTGTTCTGACATATTTGCTAGACGTCGCGGATGCTGGTCCCAATCCGACCACTGTGCTTCCATATCCCGGTAGACCCGATGTTCACTAGGAATGGTCGGCGGGGGCCACTGCTTGTCAGGGTCTACTGGCAGGTTCGGGGGTGATTCTGAAGAACACAACGAGAAAGCATTGAAGACATGCTGTGTTTCTATCGCCATTGGCATGCGAGTCTCACCGTGCAAATAGCGCGGCAGACGGCCATGGTTGTTCTTCAAGAGGAGAACCGGGTCATCCAACCAGAGGCTAACCTTGGGATCAAAAGGTTGGACCATGACATTCGGATTGGATTCCCACACTTGAAATGGACGACTACGTCTCTCTGCAATAACCCGATATGCCTCAATGACTCCTCTCCTTGGATCATATCGCGCCAGAATTAGGTTGCCTGTGTGCTCCGTATCCGAAAACCAGATTTTATGCTTTGGGATGAACCAGCACGGGTGGTAAGCCGCGTAGAGGTTGCGAAACGACTCAAAAGGGCTCGGGTCGTGAATCTTGAATGGCAGATAGGCATTGACCAGATCGGCCCACAGGAGCTCGTTGGCTGCATGTTCGGCGAGGGAACGGCAAGCTGCTGACACTTGGGCCAGATCCGTCGCCGACAGGTACGACAGAATTTGGTGAACCAGTTCAGCGGGAAGCTGTACCAGAGGTGACTTCGGACATTCATCAATTTTAGAGTCCGTAGCTAAGCTTTCTGGATCGTGGTGTTGCTGCTCCTGTTCATGCAGCTCGCCCGGCAACTGGAGCGAGTCCGCCGCGGTATTCAGATCGCCATCCATAGCTGCGATGCTTTCCGGCTACTCTGTTGCGGATGTACTTCGCGTGTCCGTACGAAAGTATAGACAAATAATAGGATAAAAGTATGGTCCCGAGATAAAGAAGATCAGGGGTAATAAACTAGCAATACGGCAGGCATGGCATTTCAGCTTCCAGGAAATCGACGAATGACATCATTCGTGCAGGAGATGGGGGCGTAATTGATGGGATCAAGGCGAATTGCTTCAATATACAGCTGCCGTTACCGGGGTAGATCAGCAAGGGACAGTTCTCCGTCTCGGAATACCGTGATGCATGCGATATCCTGCTCTCACGCTTTCCCTGTACCGGGACTGGTGCGGGGAGATGGTGGTGTTGATCACTGCGCTGTTGGCCAGATGGTGTCGCCGATAAGATAACAAAAAACTCGATAAGGCGATAAAGCAATGCAGGATCGTAGACTCCAGATTTAAATCTAGTACAGCTCCGACTCGTGATCCATGGTTGCCTCGACTCTACAGTACTAGAGGTAATCATGATACGGTCACTCCACCCGACAGACAATAATGACAAGTAAAGGTAAAGCGATGCTCATAGTGAACGGCTACGACATGACTCGGATTGGATATAGGGAGGCAAATTCTAGGCTCCCAGTCACCTGACGGGTTGTTTACTTCTTCTAGATTGGGAAAAATGGATCCATACCGACGCGTAGGGAAGGCACCAGTGAGGATTGCTGCCTGTGCCTTCCATCTTTGGATGAGTTACATATAACTCCTCGCTGACTTGTCTCATACTTCTTTCCAAGTGCTGTCTCAGATGAAGGCGTTGTTTGTTTGTTTATTTATTAGGAGATAAGATACTCCCGGGAGTCATCCTTCTGCAGTCGGAGTAAGCTGTATCATCACTTTTGGACATTTTTAACATCATTTCCGTTCTTTTCGAAGAAATCTGCCAATTTTCAGATAGGCGTCCTGTTTACCTCACATATTTAATTATCGGACCTGCAAGTGCAGAATGGCTGCCAGAGTGACTCGAAGCCAGAGTCGGAAGACCTCCGTTCCCAACTCTGAGACTCGTCCTCCCTCGTGCAAGAGGAAATGTGAGTCTGAGGATTCTATGTCCTCTGAAAAGGTCCCTGAGGGGATACCTTCATCAACATGCAAGACACCCCGAAGACCGAACAAAAGGGTGCGCTTCTCGGATCCCGGCCCTCGGGTCCAGGAGCACGACTATTCTACGGGTTTGACACCCTCGCTGCTTCGTACCTCGTTTGAGGATCGAGGGAATGCAGACCACATTACCCGCAGCCCGAGCCGACCGATGCGGCGGCGCTCTGCTCCTCTAGCGCGGTCCCGCTACCTGCAGGACCCGTTAACTTCGGAACAAGTGGTGCAGTTTACGCCCTTGCGGCAGATTCTGGATCCTCGGACGAAGCGACGACTGTGCCGTGTAGGTCTAAGTGACGAGATAAATCACATAGAGCGCGAGAAACGAGAGACTGCTTACTACGAAAAGACCATCCAGTCCTTGCTGTGCGAAAGGGATGCGTTGAAGCAGGAGCTGGAGTCGGCGAAGACTACCCAAAATGAGAGTCAAGTCAGGCATATGGATGATGAGCCCACGATCATGTCACCACGGACCAGAATCGAACGTCTGGAGACCGAAAACGGTATTCTTAGGGAGAAGATCTCATTCTCCTCGATCCAAAATGGAGATGATCAGGATTCCTTCAGCACAACTGACACAATCATCATCAATGACAGTGCATTTGAAGGGGATACTATCCTTATGTCCAACTCGCCTGTCATCCGTGGTTTAGATAGGAGTCATTTCCCATCCCCGGACAATCTTTCAACCCTGCACAGTCATAATACAGCTGCCGACGTGGGTACCCAAGCTCATTTGCCTGATGAGGACCAAGAAGCAGAGATACGCACACTCTCACTCGACCTGGAAACTGCCAGGAAAGAGAAAAGGGACCTGTTCGACGCAATTCGCGCTCACTCTTCCACATTTGATGGCACTTCTCTTGGCCAGCACCTCAGCCGATCCTCTCCGCCTCCGGATTTCCTAGCTCAACTTGTGCCAGCGCTCACCGAGGCCGTCAGTCGTGCCTCAGACGCTGTCGGTGCTCTGAATTCAGCTGCGGAAGAACTTTCAAGCATTGGGTTTTCCGGTACTACCGTGAACGACATCATTTCCGAGATGCGCCATCGCTTCCGTTCGGCGCGTCTCGGTCTGGAGCGCGCACTACCTGGAGAAACAGCCAATGCGGGTCTGGAAGATGGAAGTGCCACATTGGCCGCGCTGGTCAACCGGGTGGAGCTGTTGGTAAAGGCCCTAGACGAGGAGCGTCATTCCCACCAGGGCTCGGTAGGTCGCGAAAAGGCCCTACGTGGCCAATTCGACAACCTTTTGACTCGGTACGAGATCGCAATAAAGAAGATTCAGGATCTGGAAGAATCGAGGGCAGCTTCTGCCAGCGACATGCTGCATACGAGAATGCGAATGCAGGAGCTCGAACGCGAAGGAGAAGAACAAGTTGTTAGCATTGACAGGCTTAATGCAGCGCTTAGCAAATATTGCGAAGAGGTGAAAGGGCTTGAGATCCTTGTGAATCAACTTGAGGCGGACAAGACCGCTTCCCAAGAGCAGCACAGCCAGCATGTGTCCGAACTTGAGGAGAGATTGGCTCACGAGAAAAAGTCACGTTCGGCGGCCGAGTCTGCTGTCGCTGGGCGGGAAGAACGGATTCATCAACTCGAAAGGACAGTGGAGACGAACCAGATCCGCGCGTGCGACCTTACTGCGAAGCTAGAGTCGATTGAAAAAGAGCGACGGGAAGCTATCGAAAGCTTAGAACAAAAGCTAGCTGAGCAGCTCGAACATCATGAAAATGAGATCGGTCTGCTAAATGTCCGGGTCTCGGAGCTCACCACCGCGCTTGAGGCTGCAAAGTCAGAAGCAGAAACGCTGCATCGAAGCAATATAGGGCTGCAGGAGCAGCTGCGACTAGAAATGGAGGCCAGAGACAACCTGCTGGACAGATGGGCTGCGGATCAAGCTCGGTCATTTGCTTTCATGAAAGAAACCGTCAATTCAGAGCGACGAAAGGCGAAGATCCGGGCCGCGAATTGGGAGATGAAGTCAGATGATCTTCAGTCAGACGGCATTCCTCTTCCAAGCGAGCCGATCACTCCAGTCAGTATGACCAGGTTCGTCGATGTGGAGGTTGGGAGGGGTAAGAATAGAAGGCGGCTTGACAGCGGCATTGGCATTTTGACCGAGGAAGACATTATGAATGAAGTTGAGGACGGGGCTGATCTCCCGATGGGCGTTAATCTTCTGCCGTCCGATCCAGCGGAACTATGAGCGCAGAGATGCTAGTCTTTATCATTATATGTTGGCTGGTTAATTCTTGCTATCGCGATTCGATCCCTGTTATAGGCGAGTTTGAAATAGCCTCTGTACGCTAAATGATTGGCTATCATTGGGAGTATTGCCCCATTGGAAATTTAGATATATCTTGCAAGTATAACCATGTTGGTCGATGTTGTTTGTTGTTCATATCTTACTTGAGGTAAAAATAGATAAGGTCGGGCGAGCTTATCGCGGAATTTCGTTCAGCGGATGACGTCGATAGGCGTTCATCAAGAACAACCAGCTTGATAGAACCAAGAATATCAAGGATTATCATGCTGCTGGGACTTGCAGAGCCATATAACACCGCTTCGAAATCTAAAGCCAGTGTATCTGTCCTTTACATACTTACGCAGGAATTGATTGAGGTGTAATAACTGGATTCCATACGGAAGAAGCAATAGACGCTCAAGATGTTTGGGGGGGACCAAGCTCACAAGTACCGACTCAAGGTCACAGCGGGAACAGAATACAACCCAGATACCCACAAGATCGTACCTGTCAACAGGGACCAGACATTACGAATCGAGAACGACCTTGCGACAGTGAGTCTCTGCGTTCGGATCCAGAACTATACCGGTGAGCACCACCCCATCTCTCCGCAGCGCCTGTGGAAAAGAGCTCACGATCAGGAAATAAGGCTACCCCGACGACTCCCCCGAGACAAACCCCTACTTCTCGCACCCCCTCCACCAAAACGACCAATACTCCATCTCCTTCGCCATCGTCTTCAAGAAACCCGTCAACGGCAACGACCTGATCTTCGGCAATGACTTTGACAGGCCCATCCGGGACCGCCTCCCGCCGGGCTTCAACGCCGCGCTGAAACTGGTCAAGTGGACTATCGACCCGGCCATGGACGGCGACGCGTACGCGGATAAACCGCACCTGTATAGCCCCGCCGTCGCCTCGCTAAACCAGTTCCGGATTGGGGAGACGATCGCGAAGGATGATGAGGTGCCGACGGTGCATGATGTAGTTGTTGAGGAAGGGGCTGATGGGTCTGGAGTGGAGGAGCGCTCACGGTGGGGCATTCCGGAGGGTGTAGCGGAGCGGCGCAAGATGTTCCAGGATGAGGAGGAGAGGAAGAAGTTTGTGTTCGAGCCGGGGAGGGTGTACTCGGCGGATTTTGGGAATCCGTATCTGGTCTTTAATGGTTGGTTACTGGTTTACTTTGGTTGCAGATGGGGGTTGGGTTGGTGGGCTGGCTGACGATGGGTTTAGATTTCTCGCTGCGGCTTCCTGGGCTGACTGTCCATGCGACCAAATATATTGACGAGAAGAATCATTACCTGCGGTATGTTTTGAAGAATAGGGAGACGGGGGACGTCTATTTTGTTGTGCTGTTCACGCTCATCTTGCTGGATAAGGAGAAGGAGCCGGAGGTCAAGGAGCGCTCTAAGCAGGAGATCCAGGAGAGCACGGAGAAGCATGAAGAGAATGAAGGGAAACTAGGCAAGTTTGAATGGGAGCCGGAGCCGTCGGCGGGGGATGTTGAGTGATGATTTGTACTAGTATCATACCTTCTGACCTGGTGTTGACCAAACGTCGTATATATTAAACCGCTAAAGAATAGACTTTTGATAGTTTCGACTATAAT